CATAATTCAGTTGTAAATGTTGAAACACTATATTTATTTATTAAAACACATAAACAATGGTAGAAGGAGGCACAAATAGATATGCGCCACATAAATCATTCGATTTGTGTGAGGGATGGGATACTGCTCGGGTGCCAAGACCGAAGCAGGTGGTTTACTTAGGGGGCCACACCTAATGGTCTGATCCATAAGGTAGTGGAGCAACATCAAGAGATGAATTCCCATAGTAGTCGGTGACCACCGATTGGTTCATACACCATTTGTTCGTCCAGGATACTGGAGGCCATGTGCATCATTGGTTTGGAGTCAGGAGTTTCCAACTCTCCTAGATGAACTCTCCATGTCCTCCGGCCCGGTTAAAGCGCCGGACATTCGCTTTTCGTTCTCTCAGTTTCGTCAATAACAGTAATGCCACGAGAATGCAGTGAGTAGGACTTCCCTGGCAGTTGTTGTATACACGTCGCTATGTGAGAGCATTTGTAGAGGGAGAGCTGACTCTTCCCATTCTTGACCATACCAAAGGATTTGAGAATACACTCAGACGACAGGTCCTAAATAGAATGAAATTTACATCATGGATTCCACTATCAATCGATTTCTCAATGTGTTTCAAAAAACCAACTTGTTCCTTTATATTTATTATGTTTATGAATAGTGGGCAATAGTTAAATCCATAATGTCGTTTACATTCTTCTAGAGATTTATCATCTAGCAATGGTTTATGATTCTTAGTAATGTTATCCCTAATGATATTCCAAACATTATCAATGCTAAACATACAATACTTAAGTAACTTTCAGTAATATATGATGGCACTTTATTAAAGAGATCATAAGCTAACAGGTGTTAACTAAATACACAAGTAAATTTGCTTAATAACTACATATAAACATGAACCCATTATACAAAACAAACCATTTGTTTCATACACTTAATGTTCAGTTGAAAAGTGGAAATATAACATTTTCTCTAGTATATCATGATGACTTGGATTATTTCACTGGGAAAATATTGTGGAATAGTGTTATAACTTGTTGTTTTGTGCCGTAATAATATATAACATAGTGATACCACTAATGAGAGCACAGTGAATTATCGATCGGACTAATGATGTGTAAACCTATACGAACAGTTTATAGTCCTCTTCGGTCCTTCTCCCTGACTAGCCCTATCTTTTAAAGTCCAAAACACTAATCTCAGCTTCCGCAATATCAATCATATATTTCAAATATACTGGATTCATATACAAACCAATCAGACCACATTGTACCATAAAATAGGGAACAGCATTTGTACAAGATTTAGCCAAAAGTGTCTGTGATTGTGAGCGATAGTAATTAATAGACTGAACATAACTCAAGAATGGTAAATCGTAAAGTAATAGTCTATGGGTCAAAATAAAGCTTATAATAAGAGAAACATGAAGTATGTATAGCTTAGTTACTTAACAATTATTCAATAAGAATGTAAGTATAGCACTAGTGCATAAATGGATCCTTACAGTTACCATTCAATATTCTCATCGGGATATAGCAATATAGGTTAACATAGAATTTCATAAGTATAAATTATATGTAATACCCATCAACAATTACAATATAAGATTGAACATATCACATTCTAATCTTCCAATGATTAGAAATAAATGAGTTAATGAGTCAGATATCACTGGTTTGGATATTTATTATAACAGAGAGAGTAATGAAGACATTAGAAGCTTCGAAGCTATTTCACAGTCAATTATCATCCATATTTGATTGCATAATTATTCGGTAATTGGATTATTGTGTTCCGGTATTCTCTAAATTATAAGCTTCTATTGAACTTACTAACTATTGTTACACCTTTCAGTACATTAGAATTACTGTTAATTAATTATGTGAAGCGGTTTGTGGAGGTCTTAGAAATTTCACAGATTGAAATCATGAGTCAATTGAAGCTAGACCACCTATGAAAACCTGAAAGCACTGGACGAATGTTTCGTCCTCGTATGAAACTCCTACGTAATGCGCGCCCACGATCCCACTCAAAACCATTAGATTCCAGTTCAGTGCTTTAGAACTTAAGCATTCGTGTGCGAAACCAAAGGTCTAGGGTTCGAATCCTTCATGCGGAATCGTGGATGCGCACTGTTCAGAAGTCCTATTTTAGGACGAAACAACCAGTCTAGTACTTTCAGTTTTCCATAATGGTCTAGCTTCAATTAACTCATAATCAATCATAATTAAATGATGCAAAAAATCTACACATTCATTAAACCAAAATGAAAGTGAAGAAAATCTGAAAAATCTTAATATAGAATTTTAATATATACATAAACATATATAACTCAGTAGGATACATCGAACAAACGAAATTTCAAGTCAATGGAAATACCATATATGACAGTGTAGTTAGTGAATTTGGTCAAAAAATAATAAAGTTAAAGGAAAAATACATCGACTTTGACACTTTTTTTTGTTTACATCCCCCTACATATCAACTAATTTACTTTTAAATGTATACACATATATGTATCTTAAGAGCAATGGTATTCCTTCGAATTCAAACTTAATATTCATATTAACAAATATGTCTTCTGTTTACAATTCAGATTGAATTGATTACTTAAATTGATTGATTACTAAGGTTTTGTAAATCAGATATTCTTCTATTCCTTATTGTCGATTAGTTGTTGTAGACAAAGATACTGTGTAATCAGAATCTAAGCTTATTGATTGAGCGTTCGCACGCGAGACGGACGGGTCCTGGGTTCGAATCCGGCGAGCGGGATCGTGAATGCGCACTGCTGAGGAGTCCCACAATAGGATGAAACGACTGTCCAGTGCTTCCAGGTTTTTAATAGTTGTCTAACATCAACCGGTTCAAGATCTCAATCAATAAGTTAATACTCTCCACAACCAAATACTGACAATCTAAACTGTTTACTATTGTGTGTATTATATTTTGTTATTAGGTGGCACACGAACAATTCCGTCCGCTTTGAAGGCTTTGGTTACAATATGATGGTCGATCGAAGTAAATATTTCAGTCTTACAAGAGGACTGAAAATACCATAGATTTTGAAGCTGAATGACGTGGGTTCAGATTTCACAAGCAGTGTCAGTTCCATCAAAATTCTGGTATGCCTTGTTGATGAGTTTTGACTATCACTAAACTAAGATTAAGTGTTTTCGTATGATGTTCTTCAGCCAATAAACATCACAAATAACACTAAATATACACGAGTGACAATCATTTTTGAGACCCTGGTCAGTCAGTCGACCAAAAATGTCAGACCTGATTAGCACAACAAGATGAACACCGAATTCATAGAAATAGTTAATTCAGTGGTGGTAATATATAAATGACAGATTGCATATAAGGATGCAATACAGGAAGAAAGAATTAGTTGGTAGGCAGAAAGATATCAAGCGATTTTAATCTCATAGTTTAAGGGAAGACAGAGATTTTATAGACCTACGTCATTGTGATCGATTCTGAGCCATTTCACCCAGAGTATCCAACCATTGGTTACAATAGTCCAATGGTTGGACCATAACAGGTTGAAAGTATTGATTCTCGTCCGATCACCGAGACCCTGGTGAAACTCATCGTTCCTTACTGACTAAAATTTGTGTATTTTGAACAACAGTGTATAAACTGCTGAAAGTGTTCTACTCGGTAAGAATGATTCGAAACTTCAATTAGACTTTAGCATTATAGATGTAGATTCACGTCAGGCATCGATAAAACATAAATAAAATAATGAAGTCACCCAAGGATCTCTGTTATTTACTGTATTATTGGATGAATGAATAAGAGAACATCAACCACAACCATAATTTCTTAATAGTTGAACTCATGAAACTATTTAAGTTAGTCCGTCATAGAAAAACTGGAAGCACTGGACAACCGTTTTGTCCTGGTGTGGGACTCCTCAGCAGTCAGCATCTATGATTCTACATACTGGATTCGTCCTATACTAGAACGAAACGGCCATCCAACGCTTCCAAATTTTCACTGGTGTTCCAACTTAAATCCATTCATAAATTCAACTATTATGATTACTACAATGTCCATAAAACCCCATTCTAATAACTATAATTAACAATTATGATCCGAAATAACATGGAACAACGTCGATTACAATTGTACAAATTCATTCAGCAATCATTTTCTCTTAGATCATCAACTTCAATATTAACCCTTAGTACTTTAGTTCATTAATATCTGGTTTTTATTTCAATTATATCCCTTCATATTTAGTCTTTCATCATATCTATGATATTGGTATGATTTTAGTTACTTTCCCTAGTCTACTTATGCAATACATTCTCATATATATTCATTTAAAATGTGACAATATAAGCAAATGTGTATAATGACTAGCATTTGAATCTAGGACGTGCGTTTCGTCCTATCTAGGACTCGTCAGCTGGATGGACCATCATCTCAGAGTTGATGTTTACTCTGGGACTTGAACTCAGTACACCAATACGTTATCCACATATAATGCTTGTAATGCATAGGAATCAAGGCAATATCAAAGCAATTCACACAGTGTGCACATATGTTAATAATAGACTAATCAATTACAATCCTAAACATCAATGAGAAGATTCATGTAAACAACAATATCAAGTGAATTTGTTACCATATAAGTTAATAAACATTGATTGAAAAATATTCATTTGTTTATGATTAATTCATTTTTGTATTGTAACTATGGGAGAAATTATCATAATATTTACAAAATGACTAGTTAGTAGTATGTAACGAAATCCATATTCATTATTCAAGTATACAATATGACTTGTAAACATATTAAAGTATATTTTACTATAATCCAAGTTCCTCCTCCTCTCCTCCTCCTTCTCCTCTCTCTTCTTCCTTCTATATTTCTCCTCATTATCCATTCTCGTTCTTCAAAATGATGTCATTGTATATGGTAACCTATTCTAGAATATTCTAAAATTTCTGATCCTTTCATATTATCAATGACATTTGTTTATTACACTTCAATGAATATAAACCATTTTAATTAAAACGAGAATGAAAACAACAAAAAACGGAACAAATATATGATACAACTTACTTTTCATTGTTTCTGCCACATTATGATTATTTTCAATACAATCAGAACAATGAGATAAATCATAGATTTGATTTTGTATCGTATGATTACTCATTATACTACTATTATCCATATGAGTAGTATTAGTAGTAGTAGTATTGATATAGTTTTTTAATGTACTATTAGTTATATGAACATTTTTATCAATTAATGTTTGTAGCAGAGCGTAAGGTATACTAAATATTAAACCAATAATGATAATGAAAGTACATATAAATATAGCCATACCTACACCACCATTTGAACGACATTTTAATGGCCAATATAAACAATTAACACGATCTATACTAAATGCAACTAATAAACAACCAGAATTAAATACAAACCATGTTCCAATTAATTCCATTAATTGACATGATATTAATGATATAGTATCTAATTTAATCATAATATTTTTATTTGTTAAATAATATAATCCACGTCCAAGAAAATCATCTAATAATGTATTGGTGATTAAGACAAACTATCAGAGATAGCTAATGTCATAACATAAATAGAAAAACGATTCCATGGTTTATGAGTTAAAAATAAATAAAATGCTGATATATTACCAAATACACCAAATAATACAATAATTGGACTAATATAACCTCTTAAAAATCCTACAGCATATTCCATATTCTTAACATGAATTGAACATTTCTCTATAGGATTATGATGTATAGATGTATTGAAAGTGATAAATGACATGATGATTCCTTTGAATGGAATATGCAAAAAAAAAAGATGGAAAATATTCTTCACTGTTTCTATGTAAGTAAATTGATATTTATAGTTTTAACGATTTGTTTGTTGTTTGTTTTGTTTTGTTTCTGTGCCAAAATTGGATGGTAATTCTTAAAGGATAAATAAGATTTAGTTTGGATGATTTTGATTGGTTACTTTATTTTAAATGGAATAAATGTGTGTCTGTTTATCTATCAATTCTAAGGTATGTCATTAATGAATGTGTTTGTGTGTCTATAACCGTATCACAATTATAAGAATGAACTAATCAGATAAATATGTGTATTTTATTAAAGGCGAATAAAAAGAAGTGTTAGACATTTTGAAATGAAGAATTCTTGACTACTTTCTATAAAATGATCTTGACAATTAGTGTTCAGTAACAATCTAAAATGTAAACTCTCGCATTTAATCAATTTAATATACATTTGTCAATGTACTTGTTCAACTAGCTTTCGCCAAATTGCGTCATTTATGGCGTAGGCGAGATATCCGTCTATCAACCAAAGGACGAGTTTACTGTGAAGCAGTTCGTTCCGTTCTACTTCATGGCAGTGAAACATGGCCGGTAAGAGTAGAGGATATTCGTAGGTTATTAGTATTTGATCATAGGTGTCTTCGAAATATTGCTCGTATATCCTGGGACCATCGAGTAAGTAATGCAGTTGTTAGGAAACGGGTACTAGGTAAGGATGGCAAATCAATTGATGAAGTAGTGAAACTTCATCAGTTGAGATGGCTGGGACACGTGTTACGTATGCCCAACGACCGACTGCCTCGACGTGCGATGCTCAATGGTATAGGAGTAGGTTTGAAGAAAGCTAGAGGCGGCCAGACCAAAACATGGCACAAGTTCATGAAGTCACTGACAAGTGGACTGAGTCATGTTGGTAGGTGTAGACTACCTGGTTGGGGTCCGCGAGATGATAGCAACCTATGGTTAGAGACCTGAATGACATGGTTGAAAACCGTTTGCAATGGCGCAAGTGCATCCACTCTTCGTTTTCTTCCAAATTCTAATCTTCTGAATTCTTTATGTCCCTTTCTTTTTTCTCTTTCCAAATTTATTTCACTATATTATACTCCTTGAATAACATCTTCAAACCCTAATCTTTGCGATTACTGCTTATACTCTTACTACCTCTACCACTATGGAATTTGGATCGACACTAGTATCTCTGTGCTAATGTGGTGTGGCAACTTGAACTGATGTACGTACGTACGAAGTTCTACTTTTTTACTGACTGACTTGACTGTACCTGTTCATATAGAGCCAGGCATATAGGTTGTTTGATGCGTATTTTATCAAGAAGGATGCAAGAACATTATCCGGTTTATGTGAAAAGAGGTGAAAGCATCTCAATAAGAATCTCTATAATCAAACACCTTATGAACACAGGTTATTCATTTAAAACTGACTCACAGTTTAAAGTCATCTACAAGGTAAGTAGAAAGTTGCCAAAGATAGTGAGCTTCCATCTTTTTAGCATTACGGAAGCATTTACTATAGATTGGGGAAACTTGGAGTTATGAATGTAAAAAAAACTTGTACAACCTTTTTTCTACCTGCTGCATCTTTGATCTGTCTACCCAAAAATATACAGGAGAAAACTTGTCACAATTAGGTTAAGACTTTGACACATTAGGCTAATTAGTTCAACTTTTATGCTAGAAATACTTGAGTCCGAATTGAGACCAATGACCTAGAGCAAAGAAACGAACACTGTCCCTATCACCTGATCGGTTGACATGGTAGCGAGAGAGAGAGAGGAAAGAGAGAAGACGAGTGAATTGAAACACTACTCGATTCATTCCTGATTCAGATTAATGTAAAAAGACATAGGAAAAAATAAATGACCAACACGACCACAATGAACAAACAACAAGAAAAATACAATTATGTTCAAACTATTCATTAGGGTAGAATACAAAAGGTTACGTTTAAATTGCAATAGCCTTGGAATAGAGAAGGATATAATAGTGAATGATACATTAACAAAAGCTTATGCTTTGTAGAAGAATCTAGAAGTAAAACTAAATATTCTTATTTTATAAACCTTGAATTAAGTGAAATAATGGTCACAAAAATAGTTGTTGGTTAAGGTTAGGAAATAGATTTAGGGTTTTCATCACGAACTGATATAAGGTATAATGCCAAAACGCTATTTAGACAAGTAGATGAATGAATTTCACGCCGAAATCCAAGATCTGATATTGTAAACCTGATTGGTTAGTTCATAAATTATTTTGTCGCCAACTAGTCCTAGGAGAAAGTAGAAGAAAGATTTCTTCCTTTTTCCCGAATCGAATAGTGTGAAATTGGAAATAAGCATGTGTTTACCTTCGTTTTTCTTCTAAAATCACCAGTGTGTCTTTATTTTAAGATGTTTAGGCTTGTATCCTAGCAGATAATAGATAACTAACTGTTGGATCATATTGCTTTACACAATTACTTCTAAGCCAAGCATGTTTTATGAAGTCAATCATACTTATAATGAAGCAATTGGCAACTAATGATTTTATACGAAAACCTCATTATATTTATTAACTGGGTGTAATTGAAATTATGAACAACTAAGTTCAGTATCTAAATTAGAGGGCAATGAATTTTAGATCGGACCAATGACGCATAAAACAAGTACGAGCAATCTAGAGTCCTTATGGGTCCTGCTTCTCGCCTAGCCCTGCCTGTTAAGTACAGAACACCAATGCCAGCTTTCATTATGAGAATCATTTATTTCAAACATGCTGAATTTACATAGAAACCAAGCAGACGACATCTTACCATAAAGTAGGAAACAACATTTGCACAACATTTAGCCAAAAGTGGCTGTGAACGTAGGAGAATGTAGTTAATTGACTGGACATAACTCAAGAATGGTAAATCGTATAATAATAGTTCATAGTTCAAAATAAAGCTTATATTATGAAGAACACAAATATGAATAGTTTAGTTACTTAACAATTATACAATAAATATATACTTATAGTAATAGTGCAGAAATAGAATCCAACAGTTACCATTCATTATTCTCATCGGGATATAACAAGTAATACTATACTTAGCAGGGAATTTGAAATCGCCGGATTCAATCTCATGTAGAACTATAAGTTTTTATCACTCAAGAGTTCATATCTGATAAACGTGATTATGAATGAACTCTTATCAGACAAACACCTTTAACCAATTTTGATCAATAATATTCATTTTAGAAGAACTTCGATTATTGAAAATCACAATGTTTGGTTCATTTTAAAAAATTTAGTCAATAAATACTTTATTTATTAATTGAATTAATGAGTCGATGTAACCTAGACCATTATGGAAAACTTAGAAGCATTGAACGTTCTTTTTTATCTTAGTATGGAACTCTTCAGCAGTGCTCATCCTCGACTCCGCACGCGAGACTCTAACCCAAAAATTGCTGTGAGGCAGTGACTCACTGAACTCAATGATGAACAGTGATGCAATTTTGTGGATTGGTTGAAGTTAAACATTAGCATCACTGGATGCTGACTCAGTGATCTAAAGTTTAAGTGTTCACGTACGAGACCGGCTGTACTGAGTTCGAGTCCTACGTGTGAGGTCGTGTGTATACATTGTTGAGGAGTCTGATACTGGGACGAAATGACAGTCTAGTGCTTTAAAGTTTTCAATGGTGATCTAAACTCCGCCTGTAGCTCTTCTAGAGTTACTGCCGGTCCCAAGCCCGGGTAAAGGAGGAGGGTTGGGCATGGGGTTAGCGTCCCCATCCCGTAGAAAACTAACTCGCTAAAAAAACGCTTACCAGAAAAAATAATTCAAACCATTTTAACTCTGCCCTGAGAGTTAGAAGGTCTTCAGTTAGAAGAATTATGACGCTTCATGGTGAAAGCCGAGTTCCTTCGGAAGCCACGAGGCCGATGCCCCTTCTAACAACCAGAGCAAAAATTTTTATAGGTACATGGAACGTTAGAACAATGTGGGAAACCGGGAAGACCAGTCAAATAGCAACGGAAATGAGGAGATACAACTTAGCAGTACTGGGAATCAGCGAAACCCACTGGACCCAAGCTGGACAGAAAAGGCTAGCTACGGGAGAGATGCTGCTATACTCCGGTCACGAAGAGGAAAATGCTCCACACACTCAGGGAGTCGCTCTAATGCTGTCCAAAGTAGCACGAAATGCACTTGTAGGATGGGAATCCCACGGATCCAGAATCATCAAAGCATCATTCAAAACAAAGAAGGAGGGGATCTTAATGAATATTATCCAATGTTATGCACCCACCAATGATAGCAACGACGACATTAAAGATCAATTCTACGAGCGGCTGCAGTCAATCATAGAGAAATGCTCAAGAAAGGACCTCACCATTCTGATGGGAGATCTAAATGCCAAGGTCGGAATAGACAACACTGGATATGAAGATATTATGGGACGACATGGACTGGGAGAGAGGAACGAAAATGGAGAAAGATTTGCAAATTTGTGTGCATTCAACAAATTAGTCATAGGAGGCACAATATTTCCACACAAACGTATACACAAGGCTACATGGATCTCACCGGACCACACTACAGAGAACCAGATAGATCATATTTGCATCAACAAAAAATTCCGAAGGACAATGGAAGATGTGAGAACCAGGAGAGGAGCTGACGTAGCTTCAGATCACCACCTAGTTGTAGCCAATTTAAAACTGAAGCTAAAAAAGAACTGGACAAGTGGACAAACAGCACTACAAAGGTTCAATACAGCCTTCCTTCGAGATACTGACAAACTCAATGAATTCAAGATAGCTCTCAACAACAGGTTCCAAGCCTTACAAGATCTACTGAAGGAAGAAGAAACTACCATGGAGGACAACTGGAAAGGCATCAAAGAAACATTGACTTCAACGTGTCAAGAGGTTCTGGGCCTAAAGAAACACCATCATAAGGAATGGATCTCTATAGAAACACTGGACAAGATCAAAGAAAG